GAAATTCTAGTAAATATTCATACTATTATTTGATTTTGTATTAGTGAGCAATGTATTAAAATTGATACTAATCTAGGAAAAAAAAGCCTTGGATTGCTTACATTCTGGTAGTTGCAACCCTGTCACTCGCTTCAAAGATGAGCAACTGCAATTTAGCAAATTCACTCTCCCATTTACAGGTATACTATATATCAAATGACGAGAATCTTGCGTAAGTTAAGAATGCCAAATTTAATGCGTAATTTCTATTGAAACAGAGAGAAAAAAGTTTTGAATTCGATGCACATTCAACCCAACGATTATAGGCTAGCCTTCGTCTTCAACAGCTCCAGTGCCTACGCCAGCATCGCCTCGTGTTGCCGCAAAGGCACTACTACGGTATTGTTCAAATTGTCCGAACAACACCCTAAAACCATGGCTGCGGAGAGAAGACGGGTGATGTACTGCACCGACGCATCTCCTTCGTCACCTTTGGAGTGGTGAATGGGTTGCCGGCGTCGAGAGGAGAGAAGCCAACGTCTAGAGAAGAGAAGGAGGAGAAGGAAACGGGTTTGAAATTTGGGAGAAATGATTAGGGTTTTTAATTTAATTGGGGGAATTAATTAGATATAATACCTGATTTTTGCACAAATAAACTTGCCCCCTCAACTTTGAATTTGAAACATTAAATACCTAGTTTTATTTAATTTTCCCTTTTTTTTTGTATTAACCACAAAGCTTTCAGGCCCAAACTCATTAGAGCCCTTCAGCCCATTACCTGAGGTTAGCCCACCAGAATTTGACCTACTAAATGATCCATTAGAACTCAACAAAAGGGCTGAGTTTTCACTACTCGGCCCAAATTCACCCTTCAGCATGGTCTGTCGCCGGCTTTTTTCCCGTCGACCCTCTGCGAAGACCTCTCGTGTCGATGGCAGCGGTAGGCGAATCAAGATTCGGCTAAGGACATCGTTAAGATCCCTATTCAAACCAGCTAAAAATTCATATACCCTTTCATTCTCTACTCGTTTCTTGTACCGAACTCCATCGCTTGGGTAGTCCCACAGTTCTTCGGTGCTTAGGTCCAATTCTTGCCAAAGGTTTGACATCTCCATATAATACTCAATAACATCTTTATCTCCTTGCCTCATTTGCCACAGTTTGGTTTTAATTTCGAATATTTGAGATGAATCTTCGGCGTCTGAATACATCTCGCGAACAGCATCCCATATGTCCTTTGCAATCGGCATGAAAAGGTAAGTTTTGCTGATCAACGACTTCATGGAATTGATCAGCCATACCATCACCATAGAGTTTTCAGACTTCCATTGCTTCAGAAGGTTTGCCTCCGTAGGTTGTTTTGTATCACCGGAAAGATATCCCAACTTGCCTTTTCCATCGACTACTAGCTTAATTGATTGGGCCCACTCTCTGTAATTCTTCCCATTGAGTTTCTCCACGGTGAGTTGGAAGATGAATTATCCATTCCGACGGAGCTCAAGGTGGGGACAGATTAGGCCTTGCCTATTATTGAATCGGTGCTGCTAGACTCCTTGTTGCTGACGGGTTTTTCCTCCATGGACGGCCGGCTTTTATGTTAATCGGGCTCTGATACCATAAAAACAGCGAAAGAGAAATTTTAGGTTTTATTTCTCGTTTTTTTTAAATTCCTTACAGTTTTTCACACTAATTTATAGTACAATGAGATTGAAATAAAAGGTATTTAATCTCCTAATCAAGGAAATAATTTTTTCCTAATCTAATTACCATATATACAAAAATTCCATAAATAATAATCTACAATAACGGGATACCAACATTTTCTTTCGGAGAATGCATATGTTAGCTTACTAGATTGACTGCAATTGCGATGTTAGGTCTGGTGTGTGACAGGTAGATTAGTTTTCCAACTAGTCTTTAATATCTATTGATTTCTACCGGATTACCTCCATCATCAGTTTTCATTCCCACATCAACAGGTGTGTCACTTGGTTTACCTTACCATACTATCTATCTCTTAGTCTATAAAGTTCTACTCTAGAATAAAGATAAGCAAAAGAGAAATTTTCGTCGTTTGTGGATCACTCAAATAAACGCAGTAATTCGCGAAAGGGGAGTATCTTATAGATGGTTAGAAATCTAAAGAGTAAGTACGATTTTTAATGCTTTATCCCTCCAGGACCAGAACTTATTGTTTCAGAGGGTGAATCCATCCAATGTCCAGTAACAAATAAGAGTAGTAGAGCGTATTCGATGAAAGAAAGCGAAGAAAGAATAAAATAATTGGAATCCATAGTTGTGATACATTGTTGTATTGGATCGAGATGGAATGCCTGTATGCCCAATCTATGCAGAGTGGGTGCTCTATTCAGCAATACAGGATGCCCCTGCATAACTTCCTGAAATATTTCCCGTACTTGAGAGTTTCCTAACTCATACGGCTCAGCAATCATTTGGTGTCCCCCTTTAATCTACCATATCTATCAATGACATATTTTCGTTGTGATATACTTATACCTCGTCTCGATCTTGTAACGTCCATTCCTAAGAAATATCGCATTGGTACTAAATCCTTCACTTCGAATTTAGTGGCAAGACTCTTCTATAATCTTTCTATTTCTATTATATTGTCTCCTGTCAAAATAATATCATCAACATATATAATTAAAATCGTTTTAATGCCATCTCGAATATTGGAAGAAACATAGTGTGATCTGATTGTCCTTGATGAAATCCTTGACTTTTCAACACTTTCGTAAATCTATCAAATCATGCTCTCGGTGACAGCTTGAGCCCATATAAAGAATTTTTTTATTTTGCACACCCTTTTTTCTCATTCACCTTGCAAATTTGCTGCTAGCAATAGAAGAACTCGAATTATATTCAACTTTACTACTGGTGCAAATGTTTCTGTATAGTCAATGACCTTGTTTATTTTCTGAGAGCGATGGGTAAGTCAGGTTCAGGTGTCTCCGCTAGTTTTTGGGGATCTGGAGTTACCATCGATTCTGACTCTCTTGGTACTGTCCCTGTATTTTGACTTTGGCTTTCTTGAATAAATTGGTATATCCTTATCCTGTTGTTTTTTCTACGTCTCCCCTTGAATTTAAGTTTCCTTCTGTCAACGGCATACTAGAATCGGATGACATAGTAGATGGGAGAGATTTAGAAAGGTAGAGACTAAAATCAAAGAACCGATCTTCATGTAAGGTCTCCCCCTGAAAAGAGGTGTTCTCAAAGTATGGAGTGTTCTCGAAGAAAGTGACGTCAAGGCTTGCAAAGATTTTTTTGTGGAAGGGTCATAGCATTTGTAGCCCTTTTTGCGTAGGAAAGTATCCAATCAGAACACATTTAATGGCTCGGGTTCTAGTTTGCTTCTGTGTTGAGAGTGAACATGAAGGAATGCAGTGCACCCAAACACTCTTAGGGTTAGATGGAAAGTGCGACGAGAAGTTGGGAAGTAATTCTGAAATTTGGACAGGCGTTTCTAAATTTAGAGCACGACGAGGCATCCGGTTGATTAGATATGTGGATGTAAGGATGGTGTATCCCCAGAACAGTTTAGGCATATTTGTATTAAACATTAAAGCTCGAGCGACCTCTAGGATGTGTCTATTTTTAGTGCACTTTGATGAATACAAGAATTTTGATGAATTATCCCATGTGTTTGAGAAAGTTTCCTAGGATGTGATTGAAGTATTCAGTGTCATTATCCGTATGTAAAATTTGGATTTGTGTTTGGAATTGGGTTTGGATCATGGAATGGAAGTTGACAAACACTATACGAATATTGGATTTTTTTTAGTAAGTAGACCCGACATATTCGAGTGTGATCATCCATAAATGTAACAAACCACTTTGTGTTAGTATAGTTTAGGATTCGTGAAGGGCCCCATACATCTCCGTGAATCATGGTGAATGGTCTTGGTGGTTTGTATATAGATGTTGGGAAAGATGTACGCTGATGTTTCGCAAGTTCACAAACTTCACATTGAAAATTAACTGACTTTTTATTCTAGAAAATAGAAGGAAGTACATGTTTCATGTATTGAATGTTAAGGTGTCCCATTCTAAAATGCCATAACATAATTTCACTATCTCCAAGGACAGACCCAGAATCACAAATTTTAACTTGATACTGTTTACTCACATCAGCCTTGTCAAAGTAGTAGAGTCCTTCACTTTCCTTAGCGTTGCCAATCATCTTCCCTATGATAGGTTCTGAAAGATACAATAAGATGGAAAAAATTTGGCAGAGCAATTGGAATTTTTTGTTAACCAGCTTATAGATAGTAAATTGCACGATAAATTAGGGACATGAGGAACTGATTCTAAAGTTACGGAATCAGAAATTTTAATACTTCCTTTTCCTACTACAGTCGATAGGGAACCATCAACAATTTTAACCATCAACAATTTTAACTTTGAGATTATCCGCATATATGGAATATGAAGAAAATAGGTGGTAGGAATCAGTCATGTGATCAGAAGCTCCAGACTCAATAATCCAGGGTGCACTAGGCTGTGTAGCGGATTTTAAGGCTCTCAAAAAATTACCTCTATGAGCCAATGAGCTTGACGGATTATTTGTGGAGGTTTGACTTGGTGGTTGAAGACTGGATAACAGTTTGTAAAGTTGCTCATCTGTTCACGATTGAAAGTGCCACTTAACTCTTTAGACTTTTTTGCTTGATATCCACGGCTTTTGTTTTGTCTCGATTTCCAATTTATTGATTTTCCGTGCAAATCCTAGAAGTGTCTTCTTTATATCCCGGTTTACGGTAATGTTCACACCAGAGTCGTTCCTTTTGTTGTTTTGGGTCAGGCCCATTTGCTGCTCCTTTTAAATAAAAGCCCATGATTTCAAGCCCAACTCTTGGGTTTTTTACTAATTTATTAAAATTTTGAGGCCCATTCTTTCAATCCCGGCCCATTATTTAATGGCCCAACACTGGAAGACCCAATCCATTTTGACGCTAAGGCTGAACTATCTGTCCCGATTCTAGTTGACTCCGACGCACCTCTTCCGACTTCCAACGTTATTTTTTGCCGATTTTCTTCACGTCGTACCTCTACGAACACTTATCTTGTCAACGGTAAAGGCTTCCTCCCGAGAATTCGTCCCCTAATGTTGTCGAGATCCTGATTCAGTCCAGCTTCTTCTTGAATCACGCGCTGTTTCCTGAGCATTCCCATTCTTCCTCCGAGCTCAAGTCAAGTACTTGCCACATAGCTATCATTTCAAGGTAATATTCGGTGACATCTCGTTCCCCTTGCCTAGTTTGCCAGAGTTTGTTCTTGATTTCAAAGATTTGGGACGAATTTTCAAAATTTGAGTATTTCTCTTTTACTGCATCCCATACGTCCTTTGCCTCTGGTAGGAAAAGGTAAGTCTTCCCAATTGATGGTTTCATCGAGTTCACTAGCTAAGCAGTCACCATAGAATTCTCTGACCTCCATTTTTTAAGAAGCACAGTGTTGGTTGAGGCTGGCTTCGGTGTTTCACCAATTAGGTAACCCAATTTCCCTTTTCCATCAATTATTAGTTTGATTGACTAAGCCCATTCACGGAAATTCGTCCATTCAAATTTTTCAACTGTTAGTTGGGAAGATGAATTTTCTCCCGAGCCTATGGCAGAAGCAATTTTGGACTCCCCATTGAGAGAGTCAGAGTTTGTGGATCCTCTGCTGTTGGCAGGGGCTTTTGACATGATTAGGGACAGTTTCACGGCTCTGATACCATGAAGAGAGAAACTGTATATTTCATCTTATTAAATTTACAACTCACGACATCTTCTTATAGTACAAGAAAGGAAAGAACAAAAGAAAAAAATAATAATCCTAGAATCTAAAATATGACAATATTTCAACTATGGAAAGAATAAATAATCTAAATGGAAAAATAAATTATCTTCAATCATTTCGGGATTTCAACAGTTTATTTTCTCAAAATAAAAATCTAAAAAAGATAAAGGTATTCCTGGTGGTCGTTTTTGTCAGCCAGTTAAAATTTTGACCGTGCGTCAATGCTAGACTAGATTTTTAGTGACAAGAGATGAAAAGAGAGACAATGAGAGAGTGAGAGGGGATAAATTTTTTAGCCTAGTTGATAGTGGTTATTGGCACTCACTTTGCTGCTTGAATTGGTTATTAAAGAATACAAGAAAGATGGGAGGTGATGCGAGTTGTCCCTTTCAATCTCATGTTATTGTTCTTTGTTATAGAGATGTTATAAGCCATGCCTTACAGTTTTTAAAGTTCAGTTTTACACAGATGAAGAGTGTAGATAATTGTGAGTGATTTGCTATTGATATATTGTACCATATTTAGATTATTCCTTTGATAGATAGTCCATAATTTGGGCGATTTATTTCTTTCCTAATTAAGAGATTTTTTTTCCTTTTTTATCATAACAGTTATAATTAAAATAGAAGCCGTATGATTGTAAATAAACCAAGAAATACAGAATTCTTCTTCTGATTTCATGGTATCAGAGCTAGGACCGTCCTAAAACCTAGTTACCTCAATGGAACAAACTGTCGTTAATAGCAAATAGTCGACGACCTCCAAATCACTTAGCAGCGAGGCAGAAGTTGCCTCCACCATGAACTTGATTGGAGTACATAACTCATCCTTTCAACTCATGGTGGAAAAACTCAATGGGAAAAACTATCGAGAATGGGCTCAATCAATCAGGTTGGTGGTTGACGGAAAGGGAAAGATTGGTTACCTTAACGGTGAGACAAAACAGCCAACAGACGCAGGCCTTCAAAAAAAAAATGGAAATCTGAGAACTCCATGGTAATGGCGTGGCTCGTAAATTCCATGAAGCCCTCATCGGAAAAACCTACCTCTTCATGCTAACGGCGAAAGACATATGGGACGTGGTTCGGGAGATGTATTCCAATAGTGAAGATTCTTCCAAAAATTTTTAAATTAAAACCCAATTGTAGCAAATGAAGCAAGGTGAGAGGGAGGTCACTGACTATTATATGGAGATGACGACTCTCTGGCAAGAACTTAACTTGAGTGTTGAAGAAGAGTGGAAGTGCGTAGAAGACGGTGTTGGGTATAGGAAGTGACTTGAGAACGAAAGGGTGTATGAACTTCTAGCTGGATTAGACCGTGACCTGGACGATGTGAGAGGACGAATTCTAGGCCGGTGTCCTCTACCGACAACCCACAAGGTGTTCGTCGAAGTCAGGAGGGAAGAAAGCTATCGATCGATTATGATGAAAGATGAGAAATCAATTGGGCCTGTTGAAGTTGATGGATCAGCCCTTATAACAAAAGGATTAGGGCTTAACGAGAATAAAGAAATTGGGCCTGAAGGTTTAAATTCCTGAAAATTCTTAAATGGGCCAAAAAAGGTTTGGGCATAATGAATTAACTCAAATGTCTAGAGGAGAAGCAAAAATTGGACCATGCCCGAAACAACAAAATGGACGAACACGAGAAATCACAGCTATCAAGCCTCGATTGACTCCACCGGAACAAAAATTAATCCTACTTCAAGCGGTGCATTCAGCCATGAACAATTAGATCGACTCTATAAAATGTTCTCCAGTTTCCAAACATCTTGTCTTTCAAGTTCATTGGCTCATAAAGGTAATCTTTTGAAAGTAGTAAGTAGTACCACCCAACCCAAAGCCCCTTGGATTATCGGCTCTAGAGCGTCTGATCACATGACAGGCTCTCATCAATTTTTTTTTCACATATTTACCTTGTGCCAGCAATATCAAATTGAAAATTGCCGATGACTCACTCTCACCTGTTGCAAGAAAAGGAAGTATCTGAACCTCTAACTCTATAACACTTCTATTCTCCATGTTCCAAATTTGTCCTGCAATCTATTATCCATTAGCCAATTGACAAAAACTTCAAATTTCTTTGCTAACTTTCTTCCATCCTACTTTATTTTTCACAACCTATCATCGGGGAAGACGATTGGAAGTGCTAAGAAATGTGAGGGATTTTACTACTTTGATGAGACCGACGTGAGTAAACAATGTCAACTTGCTAATTGTGATTCTGCTTTTATTCCTAGAGATAGTGAAATTCTGTTATGGAACTATAGAATGGGACACCCCAATTTTCGATATCTAAAGCATGTATTTCCTTTCATGTTTTCACATAAAATGTCTGTCAACATTCAATGCGAAGTTTGTGAACTTGCAAAACATCAACGTTCTTTATTTCCAAAATCCACATACAAACCGTCGAAACCATTCACTTTAATCCACATTGATGTATGGGGTCCTTCACGAATTCTAAATCGAACTCACACAAAATGATTTGTTACATTTATTGACGACCATACTCGGATTTGTTGGGTATAGCTATTAAAAGAAAAGACCGATGTTCAATTCATATTCATCAATTTCCATCAGGTCGTTCAAACCCAATTCCAAACATAAATTCAAATTCTGCATACTGATAATGGCACAGAATACTTCAATCACACTCTAAAAGACTACCTTCAAAAGAATGGAATTATATAACAAAGTTCATAAGTCGACATTCCCCAACAAAATGGGATTGCCAAACAAAAAAATAGACATCTTCTTGAGGTTGCTCGTGGCTTAATGTTCACCACAAATATGCCGAAAAAGTTTTGGGAAGATGCGATTTTAATATCAGCCTACCTCATAAACAGAATGCCTAGCTGCACTCTTTCGTTCGAATCCCCTCTTCTAACATACCTCTCAAAGTATTTGGGTGTATGGCATTTGTTCACCTAAATTCCAATCATCGAAATAAACTTGATCCCCGTGCACTTAAATGTGCCCTTATGTGGTATTCTCCTACTTAAAAGGGCTACAAGTGCTATGATCCAATTACAAAAAGGGTATTTGTTAGTCTTGACATCACTTTTTTGAGAAGACCCTTATTTCCAAGAATCATCTCTTCAGGATGAGAATTTGAGTGCAGATAGATTCTTGGAAATCACTTTATTCCCCTCTGAAAATATTGAACCACCATCTTATTCCAATATGCCACTTACGGAAGAAAAAACTCAAGGAAAAGAAAATGTGGATAGACAACATGACAAGGAGAATTAGTTTACTCACGAAAGCCAAAACCTAGGTACGAGGAGAACATTACACCTTTCGTACCAAAAGAGTCAGAATCGGTGATAGCTCCAGATTCCCATGAGTACTCTTCCAAGTCCAAATCTTCTAATATTAATTTACTTATTGCTCTCAGGAAACAAACTCGGTCTTGCACTCTCCACCTTGTCTCAAAATTTGTATGGTATAATGCTCTATCTGCAAACTTTCATGTTTTTACCTCTAATCTTGTCAGCACAAAAATTCCAAAGAATATACAAGAGGTCTTGGAAGCTCTCGAATGGAGGAAGGCAGTCGTGGAAGAAATGTGGGCACTAGAGAAAAATGAAACTTGGTATGTGACGGAGTTACCTAAAGGAAAGGGACCTATTGGTTGCAAATGACTTTTTACTGTAAAATATAAAGCTGATGGGACAATAGAACGTTATAAAGCTTGCCTTATTGCGAAAGGATATACCTAGACATATGGCATTGATTATATAGAGACGTTCGCACCCGTAGCCAAATTAAACACTATTCGGATTCTCTTATCTTTAGTAGCTAATTTAGATTGGACTCTCCAACAATTGGATAATAAGAATGCATTCCTGAATGTGGAATTAGAAGAAGTCTTTATGACATTACCGCCAGGAGTCGGAGACAGGAATGATGAAAACAAAGTGTGTAAACTCAAAAAATCTCTATACGGTCTCAAACAGTCATCGAGAGCATGATTTGACAGATTTGCAAAAGTATTGAAAAGTCAAGAATTTCGACAAAGACAGTCAGATCAACCATGTTTTTCCAAGTATCGAAAGATGGGAAAAAGACAATCTTAATTATTTATGTCGACGACATAATCCTTACTTGAGATAATACAGTTGAAATGGAAAGATTCGAGAGAACCCTTGAAAAAGAATTCGAAGCGAATGATTTAGGGCAGATGAGGTATTTCTTGGGAATGGAATTTGCTAGATCAAAAAAGGGAATTAGTTTTTCACAATGAAAATATGTTCTTTAACTCTTGACTGAAACTAGCATGTTGGGTTGTAAACCAAGGGGCACTCCTATTGATACAAGCAGGAAAATAGAAGAAATTGAAAACCCGATCGACAAAGATCAATATAAACGACTAGTTGGCAAGTTAATCTACCTATCACATACCGGGCCTGATATTGCATTTGCAATTAGTGTGGTAAGTCAACATATGCATTCTCTAAAGGAAGTTCATCTAGAGGCAGTATATAAGATTCTAGATATCTTAAAGGTTCTTCCGGAAGAGGACTTTTGTTCAAGAAAAGTGAAAGGAAGTAGAAATATTCACAGATGCTGATTGGGTAGGATCAATATAAGACAGGAAATTAACTATTGGCTATTGTACCTTTGTATGGTGAAACTTGATAATTTGAAGAAGCAAGAAACAGAATGTGGCTGCTAGAAACAGTGCCGAAGCTGAGCTCACAACCATTGCTCGAGCAATATTTGAAGGATTGTGGTTAAAGAATCTTATGGAAGAATTACATATTGCTGTAAAACTTCCAATCAAACTCTTGTGTGATAATAAGGCAGCTATCAGCATCTCCCTTAATCCAGTTCAACATGATAGAACCAAACATGTAGAAGTTGATCGACACTTTATTAAAGAAAAGATTGAATATAGAGTTATTTGTATGACTTATATTCCTAAAAAAAAAAAAACAAACCGCAGATATCTTCACCAAAGGACTACTACAACAAAGTTTCGAAAACTTCATCTGCAAGTTGGATTTGGTCAACATTTACCATCCAATTTAAGGGGGAGTGTGGATAATTGTAATCGATTTGCTATTGATATATTGTACCATATTTAGATTATTCGTTAAATAGATAATCCATAATTAGGGTGATTTATTTCTCTCCTAATGAAGATGCTTTTTCATTTTTTATCATATTAGTTGTAATATAAATAAAGGTCGTATGATTGTAAATAAACTAAGAAATATAGAATTCTTCATCTTATTTCAATGAGAAAATCCATATTTCGAAAATGGGGTTCACATGGGAATCTATTATACCAACTATGGTATCTCAAATGAAACCAGGAATGCTAATACTCTTCGATGCAGATAATTTTAGGCTAGATGAGGATGCACCAGGTGAAGGGACCTGAGAGCATGGTGCGGAAGCCTTATAAAATTCTTGTAATAAGAATTATGTAATAAATAAAAACGATATTTGAACAATCATGTTGTGTATACATTGAATAATAATAGATTGTTGTTGAAAAGTGTACAATGCCTACATAAATATAGGTAAAATTATTCCCTACTTCTACTAATACTTGAAAACTAATAAAAGGAAATTAAAATAAATCCCAATCTTAAAGAAATTAGAAATCCTATTTTAAACAAGAAATAAGAATAAACAAAATAAACCTATTACAACTAGATATCTTATTATAATTATCTAACTTTTATCCTATTTACAATAGGATTATCCTATATTAATCTCTCCCACTTGAAAAAACTTGTCCTCAATTTTTGTTGAAGAAAATAATCCTTGATAATTTGTGTGTTTTCGAACTTGGCTAAGACTCAAGGAAATTCTCTAGCCATATGTTTCCGTGTTCTATGCTTATTGAAATAACTAACATACATAGTAGTTAAAGTCTTGTCAGCTTGCTTCTCCATGAGCTCGCGATTCCTTTCAAGACTCAACTCAATCAGCATTTGCGTGATGTTGTGATGGGTTTCGTCGATCCCCTCGATTTTTTGTTCATGTTTGTCGACTCTCCGTTCGTCGTCTACGGTTCAATTACCTTCAGGACCATCGTCAGCCATCAGATTAAGGCAATTTCCTTGCTTTGATACCAATTTTGGTGTGGGAGCATTATGAAATTCTGGTAATAAGAATTATATAATAAATAAAAATGAAAAATCATGTCGTGGATATATTGAATAATTATTGATTATTGTTGAAAAGTGTACAATACCTCTATAAAGGCAAAATTATTCCCTACTACTAATACTTGAAAACTAATGTAAGGAAATTAAGATAAATCCTAATCCAAAAGGAATTAGAAATCATATTCTAAACAAGAAATAATAATAAGAAGATAAACCTATTACAACTAGACATCTTATTATAATTATCTAACTTTTATTCTATTTACAATAGGATACTCCTATAAGTATTTTACTTATTCTGTCCAGTCTCTTAGTTATTATGCTTCCTTATTCAATTAAAAATGTTGGACTTGCTTTCCTCATCCCGTGAGGACTCATAGTTGGGTTTTATTATTTCATGTTCTTTGTCATTTAGTGTAGGGTGGGACGTTTGATTTAATAAATAACAGAAAAAGTGTTCTGTTCGAAATTTGATCTTGCTTTATTGCTTGATTGTCATGGTTGTGGCTTTTCTTCTTTTTCCCTTGTACTAGGCTCCACCTTAAGAGTGAAAGCACCATGGTGTAGAGATGGCCTTTTATTTTTTGTTTGTATCATTAAATTCTGTTATGCACTTTCTGAGATTGAAATTATTTATTGATCAAACATTAGCGTCTATATTTTAGGGAACCTCTCATTACTAATGTCATGGGGAGGAACTTGATAATTCAGGTATTGAACTTTTGTGTTAACTATATTATTGAGTTTTTTTTATTTTTGGATGGATACTAAAATACTTCATTAAATATCCACGTTCTAATTGTTGGCAGTTGAGTGATTGCAGGCTCTATATCAAGTGACTGTTCTCCTAATCCTGAATTTCTGGGGAAGAAGCATTCTGAATTTAGAGGATGAATCGGATGACCGAGCTTTGAAAGTGAAGAATACACTGATATTCAATGCATTTGTCCTTTGTCAGGTAAGTGCATTGGGACGTGAAAGTGTTAATTTTTTGCTACATAGAGCAAAGTGTATATATCTGCAATGCTGTTGAACTCTCTCTCTCTCTCTCTCTCTCTCTCTCTCTCTCTCTCTCTCTCTATGTTCTAATATATCGCAGTTTTTTTAATTGGAATATTCAGTCTGCTTTTACAATAATGATCATTTCATTTTGTTATACTTGACCGGCAAGTGAAGGGTTGAGGATTCTCTGTCTCACAATATGTCTGTTGTGATGATATTATCGACAAAATATCGATGTCTGTGTGATGTCTGTGATGCGATCGAATATGCAAAATTTGTGAGGACTTCACTCGGTTCTGTTTTGAAGTTTAAATATTAATCTAGTTGAAATCATTTTGCTGAAGCTGCTCTGAACTTTTATTTTTAATTTGCCAATTTTTAAACTGCTATTTTCCACGTGCTTTAACTAATTTCTTTTGTTTATAATTACAGATATTCAATGTGTTGAATGCTAGAAAACCTGATGAGATCAATGTGTGGAAAGGGGTTACTAAAAACCGTCTTTTTATGGGAATAGTTGGACTTACAGTAGTTCTCCAGGTTATTTCTCATATCTTGCTCTTTCTTGTACAAAATGCCCAACATTTCTTGCAATTTATAAATCTACTCTTGCTATTCAGGTTATCATAATATTTTTTCTTGGGAAGTTAACTTCAACAGTTAGACTCAATTGGAAATTGTGGCTTGTTTCTGTTGTGATCGGCATAATCAGGTTTGTTTCTCATTACCTGGCATTCTGGCTTACAACTTATGGCTGGTATTTCTCAACTTTACATCTTATTTTAGTGGATAGTCTATCGTATTTGTTAATACTTACATACTAATAGATATTACAGATACTATTTCTTCACATTAAGTCATGGGCAGTTGCATTAATCCTGAAAATGTGTTTTTGGGTTGATAACTGCATCACTATGTGGATATTCTCATATTATTCTCAGATCTGGTATGAAATTTCGCTTTCTACTTTTCTTGATCAGCTGGCCTTTAGCCATTGTTGGGAAGCTTATTCCTGTTCCAGAGAGACCTTTCAGTGATTTTTTTATGAAGAAATTACGTATAGAAAGGGGAGCACGAGGTAAAGAAAACTTTTGCGAGTTGAATATGAGGGGAATATGCGCTTCTTCATCTCTATGAGTTGACTTGATCTTTTGTTATCCAGGTTAAATACTGAGGAAGTGGAAAAAGACAGCTTCTGGGCTCATCTTTTTCCGTAGGCAGGGTGCAATATAGCTAACTTAAGTTGTAATGTGGGGTACAAAGTTGCTTTTGTTCATACAGTGAAGTTGTAACGTGCTCTTTATCAACTAATGTTGATATATATGATCAATAAATTATTTTTATGTGAGAACGGTTATATAGATATTTGCATTCTGGAATTTAGGTGGGCAAAAATCGAAAAATCGATCAAATCAAATTGAATCAGGTTAGTTTGGGTTGGCTTGAACCAAGAAATCGGTTGGTAACTATCAGATATATAGAATAATTTTAGGAAAATCAATTGTTTACCATTTATATTATTGATATGCACTACACAAGCAAAATAAAAAATATATATATATAAATAGGAAAACAAAATTTTTGACCTAAAATAGATAGACAATTTTTTTTAACTCGGACCAATGTCTGGCTTGGAATTTATCCAAAATCGATGATTTTGGCTTTGGGTTGAACTCAAACCCCACCCAATTCGAGCCATGCCCAAGTTTATTGGAATTGATTGGTTCGTGTACATGGAATGCATTTTATGTTGTTTTGTCAATAATCGTTGGTATGATTTTATTGTCACCAGCCATACAGAAGACTAACATTCGCTAACATTTGCAGACTTCAGCATGCACTTACAACCATTTTGGATGGTGTATTCTGTGCGCCTTATGCCACTGAACTTCGATTGATTGAGTTTCACTTTTCATTTGAATTACGGCTAGGACCGGACAAAACTCTCGAATCAAGGTATTAACATGTATTATGTACAACGAAGAAAATGTAGTATGGCAAGTAGAGATGTTGGGAGTGAGGTCTAGTGGACTGTGGACATAAACATACTAAAGAGATTTTCAAAGTATTTTTAAAATCAATGGACTCAAATTTGCCAACACATAGGAATGTGAATCAAGGTGTACATGTAGCATGGCTCCAAGAAATAAATTTAGCAACAACTAGGTCAAGAAAGGGAAAAACAACCTGCTTCTTTGATGCGTGGAAAGGTTTTCCTTACTGTGGAATGTTGAACCTTAACAGTTTCATCAAAACTACAAGTTTCAGGCTTCCTATTTTTAGATTCCCTAGACTTGAGATGTTGCATTGATGGTCGGTGTTGCACAACTGAATTAGCAGGATTGAGGTGCAACTGCATGAAACAAGACGGTATTGTGAATGCTTAAAATCAGTCAAACTTTGAAAAGAAACCATAAGCAGGGAATATTGTTGTACAAATAGAATTAGTAATGGAAATGAAGTGAGTACTCAGAGATTATAGAACTTGCCTTATTTTCTCATCGAACCTCAACAATATACCCAATTGTGCGAGGTGGTTTCCATGATGAAGCAAGAGTCTACCAAGAGATTAGAAACAAAAAAAGATTACGCATATTTTTCCTCCTTTAATAAAGCAATGAGTAACATAACTAATTCACAAAATTATGAAAAGATAATCCAGAAAACAATAGAGCATAAGTGTTGTTTAATATTTGTTTCGAACAGAGAATTCAAACATTTATATGAGCACTTTCTATGATCAAAATGTTCTAATTGTCGGGTTAAAGTGCACATCTCCCTACCTTTTGATTGAGTGGGCTTTCCATCCGCATCATCGCTTCATGGAATCCAATGCATATAATAGTAAGATAATATAAAGGTGTAATTTTTAGAAAGGTTGGAAAATTCTTTCAATTTTCCACAATGGCCTCTTTTGTTAAAAATACTATTTTGCCCTTACCAAAGTTATTTGCAAGATGTATCTTATATCTTTAAGGTTTTATCAATCAGGACCTATATCTATATTTTTCAATCTTTCGAACACCTTTAAATATTTTTTGTATCTGGATAATTCTTCAAAAATTATAGGTTGGCCTTTCTTGGTTATATATCCTTGAACTATTCCTTCTGAAATTTCTTCTTGTATATTCTTATGTTTGGTTATGATATCTTCTACCTTTCTTATTTCTCTACTAGTTCCTACAGAATCAAATCCTATATTATTTCTACAATTATAATTTATATCTTTATATATTTATTCAATTTTTTCTTTACCAACAGAAAATATATCATCAGACTTTTTGTCTAATTTAAGTAAAAACAAGACATCTTTTTCATCTAAAAATAATATGAGATTATTATCATTAGTGGATGTGGATGCTTATGAATTATTCATCAGAATAATTAAAACATAAGCATGTAAAAATAAGTAAATAACTTACAGTAATCAAGTGGAAATAAACATGCTTTCCCTCCAATATGCTCTTATAAATGCTTTGCATGTACTTAATCAATTTTCTGAATCAAGTAAAGATTTAAAATGTTTTTGAAATCATTTGGGTCCACAACTGCTTTCGCAAAAGGCTTTTCAATTAATGTTGCATTTCTCATTCTAGAGAATTAGCCGTGTTGCCACAGACGCTATCTCATAGTATCCAGAGTCTCTGTTTTCACCTCTATCCAAACTCTTTTCAGAATGAAATTCTTACTTGGAACGAAATTTTAAAGGATAACTCACACATAAGGTGCTACAAATTTTTGTTAAAAAACTGCCTTTTTCCCCTAAACCATTCATCAAAGACGGGTACTTTGGCATGGCTAACATCCATTCAAAATCAATGTTTTGAAAATTTTTTAAAATCTCTATCTGTACTGCCGAGGAATCATGAGAAACTTAACGAAATCCTTTTATGTAAGTTTTGTTGAACATAACAAACTTTACTTTGATATTCATAAACTGAAATTGTACATGCTTACAAACTATATTTACATACCTTTGGTACTCACCTTATGAAGTTTAGAACTCCATAAGTGATTACCTTATTACACGCTTTACTATCTTCAAGCTATCTAATATTTTTCTGAATACAAGTGGTGTATACAGATTACAAAAGATCTATCTAAGATGTGTTTTCTCTGAGTGTTTTAGAGATAAGCTATTTCGAGATATTCTCCTTCTTCCTCCTTGCCTCCTTTTATAGAAGTCTTTGAGAACCTTATCTTGACAGGTGTTTTCCATCTTTCTTTGTTGGGTAGCTAGACCATCTTATCTCTACCGAATTTTTCCATTATCTTCTTGCTAGTGGACCTCTCCTTTTGAAATTAGATACCTTATCTTTTGAATTTGTCTGCCACTTGTAACAATTGGTGGGGGTAGTTACAATTACGGAGACTTTTCTTGCACTATCTTCTGTCTTTTAGTAGCCACAGTTTTTCTTTAATAAATTTCTTTATTAAAGTAGTGATAAAGGGCTACTTTTAGTCACCATCACTTTTCCATTTTTGATTCAAAGAGTTCTGCAGGGAATTCTTCATTATTAAGAGATGCTTGGCTCATATCTTCAACTACACAGTATTCACAATGGTGATCACTGTAATTCCAGAGTAATTTGCATAGTTCTTTAGCCATATCTTCTGATCCATGCACTTGGTTGGAAATAATTGCAGATAATAAATGGTCGAGATAACAAATATCTTCTTCTTTGGTATCCATCCTTGCACTGGAATACATAATATGATTTTCAGATGGATAAACCTATATTTTTTCTTTCTCAGTAATTATCTGAGTTACATGTTCAAATATCTCTTTGTACCCTTTTGCTCTTCTGTAAGACATCATATTTAGAATATCTTGATATCCATTTCTAACAACCTTTTGATTGGTTGGTAAAAAATGTTGATTTGTAAGTCCCATTTTTATCACATGGAACGATGGATGCATATATTCAAGAACGGGATCCCATTCCATGGTTGCTGAATGGAATCTTATATATATATTTGTTGTCTTGACAACTTCAGTATATCTTTTAACAACTTTCCTAATGTTGGCTGGAAGCTGAGCTATCTCTTTGAAATCTTTGCTAGGATATATACAAAGTATATTTCCTATCTCAAAACAATTTCGAACTCAGTTGGCTGGCACTCCTGGATAAAAATTTATCTTGTTGTATTTTGAATAGTGGAGGGTTTTCATCCACTTTCCAATCTCCAGATACCAATTTGATAAAATATTAAAAATAATAATAAAGAGTGTTACTTCTTCATGGTTATCTTTTCTGGGAATTTTTGCTTCATGGCATATCTTGACACTATCTTTTGGATCTATCCTTTCAATAGAAAGTTTAGATTGAGTTTGGCTCTGTGAAGAGCTTCCTTCTCTTTTGATATCTTGAATATCTTTATTACCAGTAATAGGTTCAAGTTTTCCCTGTGAGAGGGTTCCTATTACCTTCTTTTCTTTCCCTTTATCCTCGGGGAGAGCGCTAGTATTCACAAGTCCCTGCGAAGGGATACTAGACTTGGTACAAGTAACTCCTGCCTCAAGGGCTATATTTTTGCCTCGAAAGCTATCTTGGATATTTTGAATTTGTGTTTCCAAATAGGAAACTTTTATCTCAAGTATTTGGACTTTCATCCTTAATTGTTCCAGATTCATCCCTGCTAAGATAATCAGGAAGAAAGTTAGTTTTACCTTTTATGTATTCAATATCAAATTTGAAATATGAGAACCAAATTTGTATCCTAATAATATATCTATTGGTAATAGATGGATCAACATTATTTTTCAAAAATGCTTTAACTTAAGTATTATCAGTTCTAATTAAAAACTTCTTTGGTAGTAAATAATCTTCATATTTTTGAACTCCTCTTTTTACAGCAATGAGTTCTTTTCTATTCGTCTCGTATCTTATTTCTACTTCTTTGAATGTTCCTGATGTATAACCTGCAAGTATCTCAGGACAAGAACAATCTTTCTCACATTTATATTCTTTATGATTCTTTTTCACCTTTAACACTGCTCCCCAGTAATGATCTGAAGTATCAATTTCAAGGATAAAGAAATCTTCTTCTTGTAGTATTACAAGTTTGGGCAATACCTTTAACTCTTCTTTAACTTTCCTTATATTTTCACAATCTTGTTCTTCCCAAGACCACATAATATTTTTTCTCAATTTTGGAAGAAAATAATTTTTTAATTTGGCACAATTTTCAATGAATCATTCAGCATAATTTAATATACCAAGGAAGTTTTGTAATTGTTTTTTATCTTTGATTTTTTCAAGAAATTCTTGAAGTTTTTCTCCAATATGAGATTGCAATTACGATTCTCCTTCTTTTATAAATAATCCTAAAAATTCTATCTCTGCTCTAGCTATC